AGAGAGAGAGAGAGAGAGAGAGAGAGAGAGAGAGAGAACCTAAGATGGGAGGTCGGGAATGAACGATGTAGAAGAGGAGTGGAGTGAGGTGAGGCGCTCGAACAGTTAGTAAACGATAGTCGATAAGGCTGGTTGGTTAGCAATTAGGATTTTTTTAGTTTATTAATATATATATATATATATATATATATATATATATATATATATATATATATATATTTATAAACTAAAAAAATCCTAATTGCTAACCAACCAGCCTTATCGACTATCGTTTACTAACTGTTCGAGCGCCTCACCTCACTCCACTCCTCTTCTACATCGTTCATTCCCGACCTCCCATCTTAGGTTCTCTCTCTCTCTCTCTCTCTCTCTCTCTCTCTCTCTCTCTCTTTCTCTATGCGCGAACTGGTGGCCTTCATCATTCAAGGCCTAGTCTGATTGCAAGTAGAGAATGCAGAAATTGATGGCTTGGTTTAGTCTGATTGCAGGCCTTCATCTACAAATTTGTGCTAAGATTTTTTTTTAAGCATCAAGTCAATTTCATCTTTTCTTACACGCATGTGTTTCCTATGAGAAATCTATATGCCTATCAATGTGACTGATTCAAACCCTTATTTCACAGTTTATTAGTTCAAACCCATTTAAACTAGGTCATTAATTTGAACATAAATGTGCTCTTGTTTAATCTTTGTTCTGGGCTAATGGGTGTGTTTTATATCCTAGTCCATGCAAAGAACAAGTGATTGGTTTTGTTTTGTTTTGTTTTCCTATATAATGAGACATTCTTAATCCCCAAGTGTGGAATCTTGAGCTTTGGCGGCATGGGTTTGTGGGTGAGTAGTGAAAACAGTCTCTTGGCATTTGACATGATGGTAGGATTATTCATGTCTAATCATTCACAGTTTAGACAATGAGAAAACTCCAATAAATAGAAGTCTAATGCACTGAATTAATATTTATCTCATACTCAAATCCAAGTGCAAAGACCACTGGTGTTTTGTTTTGTTTTGTTTACCAGATTTGAGATAAACTTGACCCCACCCATAGTGGCATTTCTAAGTGGATTGCTAATTGAATCAAAACCCATTTAATCATTCCTCTTGTTGTATGGATCAATGGAGAAAAGTAGTAGGTTAATTGGATTTTTTTGGTTTTGTACACAGATTATTTCCTTAAGTAATAAAAAATAGTGTTTACCTGACTTCTTACCAAATTAATCAGGTAGGAAAATGGGGTAGAAATACCACATCTAATCGGGTAGGGTAGGCCAAAAAAAATTCTTTCGCAAAGTATCAGGTAGGAAGACGAAAGACTATATTTCCTACCCTTAGGGTATGGTGAACACCGCTAGAATGGTGTATTAATAGTAATAAACAGATGTTGAAACATGTTATGTGTGTAAAACAGATTAAATAAGTCATGTTATGTGTGTTAACTCAAAAACAACATGTTTATTAAACATGTCAAACAGGTCAAGTTCAGGTAACTAATTTAATAATCAGATTATGTTAGTCTTTACACATCTCGACACAATTATTAAACATATAAGGTTTGTGTTTTGGGATTCTTGACACAGATTCAAAATCAATCCAACACGAAATGACTCAACCCGACACGTATAACACCCCTATATTATATATACAGTGGTCCCCATTTATTAATATTGGATGTTCCACCAAAAAATAATTAAATATAAAATATATTAGATGAAATTTAGATCCCTAAAATTTTCTATCTAGTTAGGGCAATTATTAGGTCCAGATCCCTTATTATTGTACAATTTTTTGGGTAAGAGAAAGTTTATTAATTAACATTCATAATCTAGCACTCTTGTAAGATATCAGAATTAATTAAATGATCCTACAAAGTCTTCCGCTATATGATCTATGTTTTAGTCTTCAAGTTCCAAGTATGCATATAATGTCTATTTGATCTTCAATCTTTTAATTATGTCTATTTTTCCGCTAAGGTTTTTAATTTTGATCTACATAGTCTAATCTCAAACATCCGTTAAAAAATCGTAAATGATTTTGGTTATACAGCAATCATGTGGGACCAAATAGACATAAATTAAGTACTTAGAGACCAAATAAACATAAATTAAACACTTAGGGATCAAATAAACACAAATTACGTACTTTAGAGACCAAATAGACACAAATTAAAAACTTTATGGACCAAATAGATATAAAATTAGGATTCACATGATTGACGTGTGGTCAAAACTGTCAATAATTTTCTGACAACATTTGGGGTTGAACGACTTAGATACAAATTATAAACTTTAAGGAATAAATAGAAACAATAGAAAGATTGGGGACAAAATAGACACTAAATACATATTTTGGGGACCAAAATATATTTTACCCATATATATTATCACGTTTTAATTATAAGATTTCACCTG